GGGGGGGAGCTGGCTGAGAGAGCGGGGAGGTGTTGGTGAACCACATGGAGTGCCCAGCTGACAGCCTGTGGACCGCCAGTGGTACTGTCGGCCTGACCAGGCTTGGCATCTCCATGCGTGGCTTCCCTTAAGGTTCTATAGTGCTGCTGGTGGTTCACGTGCAGCCAGCTGGGCACTCCATGTCTTTCACTCTCAGGGGTCAGGGGAGACCCACGCCCCCCAGATCTGTGCATGGGGCAGGCTCAAGGTCCCACCCTGCTTCCCTCCCACAGGGCCTCTGCAGCCCTGCAGGCATAAATTGGTGAGGCTGGGAATGGCAGGGCCACGCTGGGATCTTGCCACCCCCTGCCACTGCCATGGTGGCACACCTCCTTCACCTGCTGCCACTTCCCTCAGTGCAGCGCCATATGCAGGAGGTGTGCTGCTGGGGCAGGTGGGGTTGAGCAGCTGCTAAGAGCCTCACGTGGCCCCACTGTTCGTAGTTGTGCTGGGTCATGGAGGGAAGTGGGGCACAGTGGGCCCACGGCTGCTTGCCACTGTTCCCTTCTGACCAGGTAGCTTTGTGGCGTCACAAGCAAGAATTGATCAGAAGTCTTTTGGGATCAACAGGAGTTTTTGTCAGCTTGTAAAACTAATTTGCTAAGTGTGAAACTTTGCTTGTCATTCCAAAATTGTACAGCTTCATTAAGGAGCATAAACTGAATTTGCTAAACTTAATTCCAAAAAGCTATTTCATCAGCTTAAACAAATGCTGCTTTTGGAAATGATTTCAGTTGTATGGCTGTCTTTTCTTCTGTTTTTCCCAGATCTCAAAAAAACATTAAGAATGACAACACTCATGAGTCTAATTTCCATATGAGATTATTTGTGGAAAACTTTTAATGTTTTAAAATTCAACGTAGTAATTATTTGCAAGTGTTGTTGCCATATATAGATGGACTTGCTTGTTTTTTACTTGAATATTTCCATTGTTCCCACTTTCTCTTGAGTTTCATTGCCTAGCCCAGGTGCTTGAGCAGATCCGGGCCTAATGTGTCCTACAGTTTTTCCCTCTCTGCTGCCTTTCTACCTGTCATGGGTTGTTTTTTTTTACTTGAGCATTCACTTGCAGGAATCCCACTGTTGATCCCTGAAAAGTGGCTTAGACAGGGTCTCTTCTCTGAGCAGGAGGAGGCTTCGTTTCCTAGTGTTAGTTTAGTATGAAAGCTCTTGCCTTGCCTGCAAGCTTTATCCTCTTCGCTTTCCTGCCCAGTGCCCTAGAATTTCAGTACCAGGGAAAGAGGAATCTTTCAGGGAAAATATGCCTGAGGTGGCACCTCCTCCAGATGGCAAGTTCTCCATCTGGTCAGTCTTTTGGCTGTCAGAAGTGGATCCTGCTCAGAGACTTTTATAATGCCTGTTGAGGGAGGACTCCTCAGATGATGTCATAAAATGGAAAATGAAGAAGGCATGGCCAGGGATCTTGCCTATGTCTACAGCTTTGCTTCTGAAACAAGACCCAAGGAGCAAGGTTTTATGGTTCCCTGCCTCATTCATTCCTTAATTAGGTACTTTTTATGGGTGTCATTCTGAAATACCTGAGATACTTACTTACTGATGGAGGGTGGGGGGACATCTGCGTCTACATCATAGTTCTCTTAGCCCTTTTAGAGAATCAGGGTTCTGTTCACTTAGTGCAATGGACCAGAGAACACAAGAGATGAGTTTCATAGTTTCTAGGGTCGGAAGGGACCTGAGCAGATCATCAAGTCTGACCCCTTTCCATGGCAGGAAAGACTACTGGGGTCAAACGACCCCAGCAAGGTGATTGTCAAGCCAGTGAAATTTCAGTGAGGAGGGCTTAGGCAACAGGCTAACTGAGAAAAGTAGGGGGACTGGTTTGGGTTTGAAGTTGATCATCTGGATGATAGGCAGATATAAAATGGGAAGAAGAATAAGGGAAGGATGAGGCAGTCATCCATGTTGTCTGTTTGTTACCTTTCCTTTCACCCTGGCCCCATGTTTTAAATTTTGAACATGGCAAATAATTACTCATTTACCTTCCTGTATCCACAGTACTATAGTTCTCAAGTAGAGGAAGTGGTGGGGTTTTAGAATGGCTACCAAATCATGGATGCTGTTACAATGAAAAATATGAACCATAGGTTTCAAATATACTGACCTTGTGGGCTTAATGACCCACCTCCTCATGCAGCCTGTGGTGCTTGTCACAGAGGCTGCTACAGCTATGTTGTTGTGGGCCAGTATGAGTCAATACTGCTCATGCTTGCCCTCCCCTATACCTGCCACCAAATTTTGGGTTTTTGGTTACTGTTGCTGAATAAAATTTGGTGGCGTTTGGCACAGCAGAGAGAAGTCTGCCATGGGTTGCCAACCTTCAGCCTGCATCCCATGGAGCTGGGGGGCTTTGGCAGCATTTATGGGGAGGAGGGGCTTTTGTAGGTAACACTGCTGGGTGGGAGGGCAGGGGTGGAAGAGGGAGTGATCGTTCCAGTGGCATGGGCTGGATTGGAAGCAACTCAGGCTTGGAGCTAAGCTGTGTTAAAGTAGTTCTCCCAGTGCAAACATTGACCCCTGGTCTCCATTCTATTCGATATCTATTATGTGTGCAACTAAACTTACTTGGAGAAGAGAGAGGGCCAGTGATTGCAGTCTTAGCCATTGATTTACAATTGTGTTAGTAGAAAACGTGTGGAACATGATTAGGAAATATTTGTGGGCCAGGGCATGAGAGCTCCTGTGTTTGGCATTACAGTCATTGACATGCTTGGGGGTAAAAAGAAGATTTGGCCAGCAGGTGAGAGAAGCTTTTAAACTGAGGGAGCGGTCTTGATGACTGCTGTCTGCTTTGGCAAGTATCAGGGATGATAACTCGTGATTAGTTACTGCAGCTATAGTATATGTACAAGGAGAAATCTAAACAAGTTGTGTGACTACCAAATCCTCAATCATGGGTGCTTCCTTGAGTTTTGAACAGCAGAGGTGACTTAGGAAATTATGGCTGCAAGGGACCTCAGGAGGTCATCTAATTCATCCCACCCAAGGCTTTGTCTAGCCAGGTCTTAAAAACCTCTAAGGACAGAGATTCTACAACTTCTCTGGGTAGCCTGTTCCAGTGCTTTATTACCCTACTGGTGAGAGAGTTTTTCCTAATATCTAACCTAAACTTCCCTTGCTGCCTCTTGAGACCATTGCTCCTCGTGTCATCTGCCACCACTGAGAACAGTGTATCCATCCTCTTTGCAGTCACCATTCAGGTAGCTGAAGGCTTCTGAAATAACTTAAGATAGGAAGTTTGCAGTCTACTAAAATTGCTTTTAGTTCACTTGTTGTGGGCAGGAAATATCCTTATTATGTTAGTTGATACAACTCAAATGTAATGCTATTTGAAATTAGCATGCACTCTTTGCTTTGCTTTACTAAGTGCTTATGTACTTGTTGGATGAATTCTTGGGTAAAAAGCCGTCTCAGTGGTACAGGCTTTTCAAAAGTTGACTATTTTGCATTGAACTGATTTCAGGAGCTAGCTCTACTTTAAAACAATGCAATGAGTTGAAAATTAAGGTTAGGAAACTTTTCAATAATAACATGGAGCGGATCATTGAAGGGTGAGGGATGGGAATGCTGTTTATTGGTGGGGAAAGATGCTGGGTTTTGTCAGGTGGGTCGTCTTCAGCAAATTGATTTTTCAGATTTGCCTTATAGAATATTGGATGCCTAAAATGGAATGCATTTACCCTGATGTTGCCTATAGCTGCAGTGTGGTTTGGGGAAACTTTTTGAAATTTACATTTTTAAATTGGAAGGCACAACTTATAACACAAAACTGACTTGTTCATATTTTAGGTGAAAGTACTTTTTGTACGTAACCTTGCCAATACTGTAACGGAGGAGATTCTAGAAAAGGCCTTCAGTCAATTTGGAAAATTAGAGCGAGTGAAGAAATTAAAAGACTATGCTTTCATTCATTTTGATGAACGGGATGGTGCTGTAAAGGTAAGTTGAAGACTCTAAATTAACTGTGATACGTATAGGGAAGTGGTGACTAATTTGAATTGTAAGAGTTGGATATGTTTTCAACTTGAGAGCGCTCTCCTGTAGTGTTATTTACCATATTGAACTAAAAATTCTGTACTACTGGATTCCCTGCGGGTAAATTCTTGTAAATTACTGGTAATGTTGGTTGTGATTTGCCTTTTAGTCTGAAACAGAATTCTAGCAGTTCATACAACTGAATTAAGCTACCATAGAAATGCACTTGCATTTGTTGTGCCAAACTGAAATGGATGTATGTTTTCCCACTAAAATACACCAGGAGAATAAAAGGAAGCTCCTTTTGGAGGTAAAGATCCTCCAAGAATGGTTTGTAGTTTTGTATAAATTTAAAAAGAAAGAAACTAAGCACAATGAAGTTTCTTTTTCTTTTGTGCTTATGTAGTAGATTTCCTAGGAGCAGAGTTGATTTGTCTTTTCTGAACTGAGGTAATCTTCTGTTCCTTTCCCTTGGTGAAGGGAAAATGCTGTTTGTTTCTCCATCCTCTGGTAGAATGATAGTTGGCCCCATACCTATTTTTCTACTCTGATTGAAGAGGGAAGACTGTTATATGGGGTTGCATCTTTCCCTGTTTGTCTGGCTATTATGATGTAGAAGCATGGGCAGTGGAAGAGTAATCCTTTGTAGATAAGCATTCTCTTAAGGCTAGTCTCCTAAGGAATCAAGAGGTTCTCTTTAAGCGGCAAGATCTTTCAGATTCCTTTCCTTTTAAACTTGTTTGCAAATGTTTAATGGAACCAATAAGTAATCTGCTGTTCCTTGGTCAGAATGACATTAGTGCCTGTTGGGGGGGCAGGGTTGTAGACTTCTTTTGTTCTTTGTAATGGAGACCTTATAAATAGTCTAAAATAGCAAAAATTGAAACAAAACTTCCAGAAGCCACTAGGATTGGTCTCTTGCTTCACTAATGCTTTCAAGTGTATGTTTTGAATCAAAAAACTCTTTACAGCTGGCCCATTGATAAAGCTCTTGATCGCAGAACTGTATGCTGAATTAACGATATTTGCAGATGTCACAATAGTGTGTTCACAGTTGCAAGTAGAAGAAAACCATCTTAAAAAGACTATTTTAATTTTGAGAACCAAGCATGGGGAGACACTTAAGTCTCCAGGAATTCTGTAATCTGGCTTTCAGATTTTGTTTTGCTCTGAAGGATATGCTTTAAAAAATTGTGATGCATGCTCTACGGGGCAAAGTAAGTAGAGTATCTTTCTTAGAAATAATTTTTAAAATCTGATTGATTCCTTCAGGCAATGGAAGAAATGAATGGTAAAGATTTAGAGGGAGAAAATATTGAAATTGTTTTTGCTAAGCCACCAGATCAAAAAAGGAAAGAACGGAAAGCTCAGAGACAAGCAGCTAAAAATCAGATGTAAGTGTAAAAAATTGCATGCGTGTATGTTGTTATTTATCACACCAGAAATACCTCTTTTTTTAAAGAAGAAAGTTGCAGCTTAGGAAATATTAACCAATACAGCAAAGTGTATTAGTATTCTATTTCTCTTGTAAAAAAATTCAAATATGATACACCTACACAGTTACATTGATAAATAATTTTTTTCAGTGTTGCCCAAAGGTAGCTTTTCTATCAGAATTGGTGTCGCATCTTGCTGAGTGTTGTACAATGATGGATGAAAATCAAGTCCTCCTTAAGAGCTCATAGTCTGAATTCAGTAGTGAAATGCATCCAGTTATGTCCACGTACCTGGTTGCAAAAGCTTTACTTTTGAACTGGACACCACCTTCTGTTTGCTCCCCCTCAGTTTCATATAGTGTCTGCCAAGTTCATCCAGGAGCTCTACAAGCATACATTGAAGCTTTTGTATGGGCTAGGGCTGTCCAATGTCTGGATGGCTGGGGCTGCATGCTGCTGCAGCCCTTCTGCTGCATGGGCAGCTCTCTGTCTCCTTTCACTGCTGCACCCCCTGGGGTGGGGGCAGGAAGTGGAGGGGGAACCTGGAGGTCTTGATATCAGCTGGAAGGGTGGGACATGGGAGGAGCAGTTGCTGGCTAGGAGTCTAGGGGCCACCAGTTGGACAGCCCCGATATAAACTGTAGGTACTATGTACAGTCTAGGAAAAGCCAGCCAACATTCTGCCACATCAGTAATGTTGAATGAGCCCATTAGTCTTTTTTAAACAAAACAAGAGCTTTAATTTCTTTGTGCAAAATCATATTTGTCTTACCACTGTTCTGTTCAGTACTTTACTATATTCTGCTTTGATTTACCATGGGTATCCTATGGCTTTTCAGCTCCTATTCTATATTTCCAAAAATGCTTGTTCTGTCAGTGCTGCTGTTTAAGCCTTCAAGAAGATTGAAAAGATAGGTCAGCAGAATAAAAGCTAGGTTAGCTGGTGACCTTAAGTACTCCATGGGACTACTTAAGATTGTCCTGTTTGCAGTTGTCATCTAGGCCACTGACATATGGGGAGGGGAAAAACAGCGCTTACTGGAAGAGGAAGCTCCTCATTAGTTTGACTCTGCTCCCCAGCATCTGTGTAAATTTGGCACTTTTATCTAATAGCAGATTCAATCATCTGTTAGTTAAAAGCTTCAAAAAGCCTTGCTGAAGTTCCCAGTCTATACAGACGTTGGGCAGGCTAGGTCAAACTAACACAATGCCTCTTCTGGGCATGCACTGTGCTTGGTGCAGGGGCACACCAAGCTGAAAGTAAAGTGCTGTTTTGTTTTGCATTTTTCCACATATGTAAGCAGCCATACTTTCCAAAGGTTTTCTTTTGCCTTGTTGGTCTTTTTCAGTGGGTATTTGCTGCTGCTGTTAGCCTTTGCCTTGGCTTCAGTGTTCTGGGCTCTACCCTTATGTTAGACTTGGTTTCATTTACTTTTTTCAGAAAGACATCAACTCTTGTATATTAAGTATCTCAGAAGCAGCCACAAGAGTACTTGTTTACTGCAGCTTAAGGTGCATACAGGAAATTATATGAACAGAATTGCAGTGCAGGTAGTTGTCTAAATGTCTTATTTTGCCATTTTGCTCTGAGGTCCTGTTTTCTTGCTCGCTTGGCTTAGATTAATGCCAAAAGGAAGTTCTGATGGAGTATTAGACCATTGATCTCTCTAGTCCTGTATCAAGACTCTGTTATTGGCCTATATTTTGTAAAGGAAAGTGAGATTTCTTTGGCACACCTGATCAGTTTAGAGTGCCGCCTTTTTTTCTTTATAGGAAGGCTGTAGAAGTAGTCTTTGGTCCAACCCCAATTCCAATTGTTCTCTATAACATAACTGAAATTACTCTGATTAGAGTGACTGCACTTTTTTAAATACATATAAATACCTTAAACTTATTTGTGTCAGATTCGCAGCAGTAAATTTCCCTGCTTACTTTGTTGAATAGAATTCCCCTTTCACCTTAAACTAATGAATAAATTTTGCCTTTTCAAGTTGGCACTTACGTTTTTATGGGCTGGTAAAGTAGCAGTTCT